ATCTTGCCAAAAGACTCAAATGTATTATCTCCACAGCCCCAGCCCTGCTAAACCTGTCTAGATTACCCTTGTTCACAGTAATCATGCTCTTGGGAATCCCTAGCTTCCTTCAAGACATAGGTCAGGTGCCCACTACTACCTGCACAGAACTCTTCCTGATTCTCCCAAATCTTTAGTGCTTTTTCTTCTTAGTACTCTTGCTTTTTTGAAATTTGTATTAAAGTTTGCACAAAACTTTGTATTTCGTATTTACTGATCTACATACATGTTGTATTGCCTCCCTGACCCAAATCTTCCCACCCTAATAAATTAGAAGTTCCTTGAGGGCAGAGATTGTTTTTTTTCTTTTTTTTTTGGTCATTATAGCTCCAGCACCCTGCACCATACCTAGAACACACAGGCACCTCATAAATGTCTTTTGAATTGAAATTCTATTGCACTGTCAACGTCACACAGTATATCTGCATTTACTAATGATTATCTTCAATCTGTCAGGAAATTAATTTTTAATAATCTACCAAGACACACAAAGAACTCTATCAAGAGATATACAAATGGGGGTGGGTTGTTGGGGTGGATACAAAGCAACACAAGACATGATCCCAGCCCTAAAGTTGCTGGCAATGTTATATTCTCCTGCCCCAAAAAGTTCCTTGCATAGTAGTGGGAAGGGGGAGATATAAAGCCAGGTAGTTGTTGAAGGGGGTGAAGCAGAGGTCCCCAAGTTACATAGATTTTTTAAAAATATATTTTTTTTATTCAGAATTTAACAAACCCCAAATGAAACAAGCATTTCCATATCCACTGTGGAACAGGAGAGGGTTGTATGTAGACCTGAAAACGACTATTACATAAAGCTTGCTTTTCTTTTTTAAGTACATAACAACTTTGTATAACTTTAAAAGTTGTCCTGTGATTCCTTCTGCTCTCTTCTCATTTGGCGGATAAAGGTGGGTGGGAGGAGACCTTATTCCTAACTTTCCTTTCCTTACCACCTCCCCCAATCAGAAAGTTAAGAGAAATAAAAAACAAATATGCACAGTCAAGCAAAACAACTGCCAGAGACTTTCCACTCATTTGAATTTCCCTTAATTTTAATCTAAAAAAATCAGATTTGACTTTTAACTGCAATCCAGCTATTAAAAGAATAGTAAGACTACAAAACAGAATAAAAACAAAGTCAGATAATTCAGAAAACTATAACCAAGTAGCACCTGACCAACAGGAGACTCCAAGTACAACATGAGTAAGAGAGATGGTCTATTACTTCTGGTACATCCTGTCATACTTGCTCTCACCTCTCAAGAATTAAAAAAAAAAAAAGTTTTTCATTTTCAGATGTGCTAGAGGTGATTTCTGCGATATTGTAGTTTTCTGGTCTAGTAAAAAAAAGGTCATATTTGTATAGTACTTAAGAGGCTTTATAATCTCCTTTGATCCTTCGTAATAACCATGCCAAATAGTGCAAATGTTATTATGTCCATTTTACAGTTGGGGAAATTTAGGCTCAAAGGTTAAGTGATTTGCCAAATATCACACAACTATCATACCCAAAAGCTTTAACCCTAACCTTTTTTTTTTTTAAACCCTAACCTTTTAATTGCAGTACTCTTTCCATAGCACACTCTCTCTAATAAAAGTGCCAATAGGCCCACTTTTCAAAAAGCACAAAGGGAAGAATTGCTTAATGACATCCAAACTATCACTGCCCCTCTGAGATTTAAATTTCAGAGCTATCTGCATTTTGCCCCTCACCCTTGGGGCCCTAAAGAGCCCAGACCCAACTTCACACCATCCTCCCTGGCAGCCTAGCCCTAACCCTCATGGTCATCCTCAATTCCCCCTATATACCCACTCCACTGCCAAAGCTTCTCATTACTACCTTTACAATGTCTTCCCTATCAGCCCCCTTCTTTACTTACAGTCACAACCCTATTTCAAAGTCTTTATCATCTCTTAACTGGACTATTCCAATAACCTTCTACCTGGTTCCTTTACCTCAAGTTCCTCCCACTCTAATATATCCTCCACTGAGCTACTAAGGTTATAAAGTCCTCTGCCTGGCATTTGTATCTGTTCACAACCTGGTCCCTTACTCTGAGCCCTATCTTCTTATGCTTTCCTCTCCTCCAAGCATCCTACAATCCAGCTACACTAGCCCATTTGCACTTAATCAAACATGACTCCCTGTCCCTTTCTACTGGCTATCAGCCATGCCTGTAATGCTCTATCTTCTCACTTCTGCCTCTGAGTTTTCTGGGCTTCCTCCAATATGCAGCTCAAACCCTGCCACCTCCTGCAGGCCTTTCCCGATCCTCTCAGCTGCCATTGTCTTCCCCTCTCACATCACCTACCATCTACTAAGCAGATAGCTTGAACGTGCCTCTGTTACAGGCATATTGTCTCTCCTACTAGAATACTCCTCAAGGGCAGGGACTGCTTTTGCTTTTCTTCGTATCCTTTGGAGCCTAGCACAGTGCCTGGAACATAGTAAGTGCTTAAAAAAATGCTTGTTAGACTGCTTTGTTGACTAAAAAGCATACCACATTGCTTTTCATCACTGACAGCTGTTTCTGACATAATGAATATACTCCTTTTGGGGGGGAGGAGGGCAGAAGGCTTGAATAACTGGGATCCATGAAAGCCAAGGGACATACAGAAGGAAGGCTGAAGACAGTGGATGTGTAGACCCTACAACTCAGGAAAGCAATCTTTGGCATGGACGCAAATAAAAACCAGGTACCCGAAATCAGGGCTGAGCAGGGCAGGGCTTGTTTTGTAGTAGCTCACATACAGGGTGTTTCAAAAGTCTTAGTGCAGTTTTAAACTGTTAAAGCCTAATACTTTTGGACATCCTGCATACTAAGTGCATGGCAACATATATTGAGTATTTCAGTTACTATAGCACAGAAATTTAGAAGTGTGCAATCAAATTCTTTTTAAAAACATTTCTAAATCATTGTTACTGAGAAAATTTGGGGGAAATCAGACTAATTTCTTTTCTAAAATGTTTCATGTGAACTCTGGCAAGTACAGATTACTTTAAAAGATTCTTATAAATAAATGGCTTTAAAAAAATATTTAAGTAACTAACATTTCAGTACTATGAAACAGAAGGATTTCCTGAGTAGTGCTTCTCAAGTCAGCTGTGAAAAATGAGCCCTTTCCATCTAGGGTCTCTAGGAGTTTGAGCAATAAAGACAATGTTGAAAAAGTAGAGAGATGGTGGGGTGGAGAGCAGAGGAGGTATGACTTAAGCAAAGGAGCAGAGGCTGAGAGGATCTGTAGTTCAGGTAGACCACGGTGAACAAGGACTAATATAGTGGTCGACCAGTCCTAGGCACAAGAAAAAGAAATCACATCTTGGATTTAACTTGCAGAGTCTCAGATGAAAGAAAAACCAGGGAACAAGTATTTTGAAACACAAACAGTCCAAGGTACTGGACCCTGGGATAAGAAAAGTAGAAATTTTCCATGTCTACCTAGTACTTTTTTGCTGGGACCCTTGGGCACTTCCAGGCTACCCTGCTGGCTACTCAATGGTAAGAACCTCATTTTAGGAGGTCTAAAGCCTAGCCCTCTGGCTTCAGGAAAGGAAGCTTGCTGGGGTTCCTCCCCTTCAGATCAGTCAGAATCAGCACCTCCATCTCCAGGTCAAGGAGTTCTGAGTATATCTGAGATGTAAAGGTAATGAGGGAAGGATCTCAGTTAATTTGGGAATCCCTCACTCTAATCCCCTTGATTCTTTTGGCTCAGAGAAGTTCGTCTTTTATCTAGAGTACAAGGTTGCCCAGACATCCCTCTCCAGGAGCAAAGTCCTGTATACCAACACCGGATAAGTCCCATTACATGGGACATATATAAATCACTCCACATTTCCTTTACCTTCAGCCCTAACGCTCTCTTTCCATCCTGTGAACCTTAGTCCTCTGCCTTTCCCATATCTGATACAATCGCTCCTCTTAAATGAGTTCCTCCTCCATTCAACCTGCCTGGCCCAATCTCCAATCCTCTTTTCTATCCATACTCCATTCAAGTCTCTGCTATCCTTTCCCCATCTCTTTCCCTTCCCCTCTACTGCTCCCTGCCTCTCTCCATTCTCTAATTTTTTCTCCCTCTCCCCCCATTTTCCTTCCAGGATATCCTCTCTATTCCCTCCCCTCAACATCTGGTCCTGCTCCCCAGTATCTCCTCCCTTCACTCTTTCTCCTTTCTGGATCCTCAAGAGTCTTCTCCAATGGCCCCAACCCACCATCCCCTACCCATTTGCTTGTTTTTCCTCCTTGGTCTCCCCGGCGCTTAGCACAGTGTCTTTCACGTAGCAGGGACTTAACTGGCCTAGGAAGCCAGGCTGGAGAAGGCAGGAGCTAAGAGTCCAGTCAATAAGATGTGCCCGGACTCAGCCCGTCTTGTCTCCGGAGTCTCTTCCTGGCCAAGAGTCGCCTTCCTGAACATCTTACACAGCTCTTCCTTACCCCCGGTCTTCTTCCTCCTTCTCGCGTCCTCGAAGCCCCCCTCCCAGGGCCCCACCAAGCCTTCCGACCCCTATCCACACTCTTTTCGGCTCCCAGGTCCCCGCCCCCTTTCTTCCCAGGCTCCTTCTCGAGTTAAGGACCATCTCCACGGTTCCCAGCCAGGTGTCATACCTACCGCGCCCCGCCCCCCGTCTCCTTTTCAGAAGGCACCAGCCCCCTCCCCACTAATCGCAGTCCAACCCTCCCCCCACCTTCCAGTCCGGGCCCCGCAATCCCTTGTTCAGTAACCCCGAGGGCTCAATGCAGCCGCCCCCTCCGGGCCCGGCACCCCGGGTCAGCTCCCCTTCGGCCTCGGCCCCGGTCCAGGCCTCGGCTTCGGTTCCGCCGCCCCCGCCAGGGCCTCCGGGGTCCCCTTCCAGCCGGGCCGAGAGCGACGCTGGGACTGAGGCCCCCGGTGGCGCCGGAGTCCCACTCTTCGAAGGGCCCGCCCTCCTACTCAGCCCTCCCCGCCTCAGCCCTGGGCACCTTTGAACAGGTAGTCGTACTCGTCGTCCCGGGTCCCCATTGTTTCGGCTCTTCCGGCGGGATCGTGCCCGTCTCCGCAGCCCCACCACAAACACCCGACTGGGGGGCGGAGCCCAGCCAGCCGCCGAACGACAGTTCCGCCGGCCTATCGGTCGCGGGGCGGGGGCGCGATTGACACCGCGGTTGCCCTATCAGAACCAGCGATCAATGTGGGATCAACCCACTGCTCCCACCTACCGCGGGCCTGAAACCGACGGAAGGGGAGGGGAGGGGCTTCCTGAAGTGACAGCGATATTAACCTATAGGAGACGGGCACAAGAGTCGGGAGGTAGACTCGAGGAACGGAAGGAAACTGATGGTCCGCTAAGCTAATGAAAGGCAGGAGACCGAAAGGTTTATGGGAGGAAAGGGGCGTAGGCTGGGGAAGGGCTGAGACTGGAAGGGGAGGAGCCTGGAAACGGGAAATGACCTATTAGGTCTGAGAACTGAAAGGGGGCAACGTTGCCGTGACGTCACTCGCAAGGCACAGGTCCTTCCTCTAGGAGTACTTTGACGTCACTAATTCAGGGAGACGGAAAAGACTTGCAGACTACTACCTCTGAGTCGCTATGGCCACCGTGACAGCTGAGCATCCCCTCAGAGACCACCCATCACCCTCCTGCCGACCGCCACCTCACAGTCTCACTAGCCACCATACTGATGACCCCTTCCTAGACCACTGCATCCCCTCACTACCGAACGTCATTTCAGGGACACACTGGTTACCCCTCTGCTGAACATCACCCCAGAAATCCACCAGTCACGTTGTCCAACACCCCAGAGACCCATATGTCACCGCACTCCATCTCACCATCTCAGAATCCCGCTCATCATCCTGCTATTGACCATCACCCCAGAAACCTTACTTTTTTACTGCCACCTTAGACAAATCACCTAACACTCTGAAGCTGATCATCAATCGTCATCTCATATCCTCCCTGGTCACTCCCCCACTGACTTCCACCTCTCACATCCACCCAGTTGATGCTTCACACGACCACACACGCCACACTGCTTACTACCACCTCACATACTTGCCTGGACACCTTGACCTGACCCTACCTCACTGGTCATCTAGCTCCTGATCACTATCTTGTCCAGTCATGTCCCCTCCTTCTCAGAGACCTACCTGCCAAGCATATTAGGTGGCAGTCAGTGGCGGGCATGACTTGGTTAAGTGTCTGGTGGGGCAAAGAGTGTCACAGTGAAGTAGAGATAAAGCACGTACATGAAATAACCATAATATAAATTAGATGATAGAGGCAGTGCAAGTCAGTGGTAAGAGGGCTAGAATTGAAGTCAGAGGACCAGCCTTAACCATTTACTATGTGACCTTCAGCATGCCACTTATCCTCTTCCTCTGTGGGCCTCATTTTCTTCATCTATGAAATGGGGAAGAGGAAGTTTGGACCTCAGAGGTCTTGTCCAACTTTAAGTCAGAGAAACGGGTCAGAGCCCCGTTAGTATTAAAAAAAAAAATGAAACCTAAACAATCACATTGCTACTGCTGAGACCTGCCTGGTCACCATTTACCATTAACATGGGCTCCACTCTTAAGCTTGGCATGGGCAGATAGGTGGTTCAGTGGATAGAGAACCCTAAATTCAAATCTAGCCTGACACTGAATTGTGTGACCTGGGGCAAGTCAATTAACCAGACTGCCTCAGTTTCCTCACTTATAAATGGGAGATAATAATATCACCTACCTCCCAGGGTTGTCATGAGGACAAAATGAGACATTTGTAAAGCACCTTTCAAACCTTAAAGCTCTATATGTGTTTGTTATTATTGCTTGCCTAAAATTTTATTAAGTCTCCTACCTCTAGGGAACTACAGAAAGAGGAATCAGATAAGCAGTGCCCTCCCAGGTAAGTCTATCTAACCTAAGATCTAGTCACTGCCTATGCCACCTGTTTAGTTGCCTATACCACCTGTTTGTTTGAGACTCTAGATCCTAAGTGTTTATATAGATTAGTACACCATGAAGGAGGTTAAAAAGGAAGCAGGACCTTTTTTCCTTCCTCAGATCATTGAGTCTGAAGTGGTGAGCAGCAGAGTCACCAGGCAAATATGAAAGATGGTAGTAAGGAGGGGTGGGTGCAGGGAGAGCAGGCCAACCTTGCCTTATGGTGTTTTCTGTAGACTGAGGGGACTCTAGCTAACTTCACCCTGGTTAACATGGGTTATTTTTTCCTGCCCTGCTTCTCTTTCAGTTGTTGACCTGCATAATGTCGTGAGTACCCACATATGAAGCACAGTCCCTGACACATATTAATCAAGGCTGGTTGATTGATTTCTCAAAAGCTGAAATGCATCCAAGGAATTCAGTGAGACACATGGACTCCATGTCAAGCTATATGAGGACTGGTTGAAGGACCTGGGGATATTTTGACTGGAGATTTGGGTGGGTGGGGGTTTGTGAAAAGGAAAGACATTACTTGAGAAGGGCTGTGATGTGGAAAACAGAGCGTTCTGCATGGTCTTCTATAGCAGGCAAATTTCAGCTTGATATAAAGAACCTCCTCACTAGCAGAGCTGTGTGAAAAGAGGTCTCTTTGGGATGAAGTGGTGAATTATCCATCCCTGAACATCTCCAAGGAGGAACTAGGTGAATACTTCTGGAGATTACATTAGTGATTCCTGTTTGGGCTGGATGAATTGATGACCCTTCCAATCTTGAGATTCTTTCATTCCTTTTATTACAAACAAATCTGAGGAGGCCTGGTAATCCCAGCCAGACCCTACAACCCAACAGATAGTAAATCTTTTTACAAGGCAGTTATTTACAAATTACCCTGATTCCTCACTAGGCCCCAGGGCTGGGCTTTGAAATAGAGACGCTCTGAGGTCACCATTCTAGATCCCCCAGTTCTTGGTCCCATTATCCTAGTCCAGTCAATATGACTGAAGACAGCTAGGCAAGACTCCTAGTCAGTCATAAGCCCAGAATTTGGGCTTCTTCCCCACTAATCCCCAGGGTTAGGCAATCCAGCCCCTTCCATTCACTTGTGCATAAAACTCCTCTGTGTAACAGGGTGGGTGGGGAGAGGGAAAGCCCTTGCCCATTAGCACTGTTGGTACCATAGGTTTACCCTTAAGAGGGCAATAGATTAAAGAAGGGGAAGAAAGGAGTAAACAGTGTCTCTTCAAGAGGGAAGGGCTAGATTTCAAGGCTGGGCCTGGATCCTCTCTTATTCCTTTCTCAGTGAAGTACCTTTTTCAGTCCTGACCCTGGCCCAGGCGTATGTCCAAGGAGACTGTTGTCACCATGGGTGTTGGGAAAGGGGAGCGTTTTTGCATTTATGTTGAGTCTTTGACCCACTGAGCTCTGGCTCTTTTGTTAGCCCTGCAAAGCTCTCATAATGAGGCTAGGAGGTGGTACTCTCTGTGGGCTGGATTAGCATAGTGGTGGCCTGGAGAGGGTAGTAGCGTCCCCGCCAAGTCTTCCAAAAGATGCCCTGCTTCCTCTGGTGCCGCTGCCGGGGAAGGGAGTGAAAATACTTTCCATTGAGGTTGGAATGGCCACAAGTACTGAACCACCAGCCCCCTGAAAAAAAATGAAAACCAGAAAGCGGGGTCAGGAATTGTGTGGGGAAGGTAGAGATACAAGGTACCAGGTCTGCTGTAGAGTTCTAGGTAAAGGGCTGTGGGAGTAGAGTGAGAACTCAAGGAGGTAGGCATCATGGTAGAATGAGAAAAAAATACTGACTCAAAAAGTCCTAGACTGGAAGTCAGGAGCCTTGGGTTCTATTCCCTGTTCTCTGTGTGACCTTGGGCCTCTCTCTCTGGTCTTCAATTTCATCATCTGAAAATGAGCAGTGTGGAATAGTAAAAAGAACTCCAGATTTAGAGTTACATTCAAATCCAGGTTCTGCTCCTTGTTACCTGTATGACCTTGGGAAAGTCCCTTAACTTCTCTAAGCCTGTTTCCTCATCTGTAGAATGGTAGGGATTGAAGCAGATGACAGGTTTAGAGCTAGAAAGGTAGAGGTCATCTAGTTTAACCCCCTCATTTTACAGATGAGGAAATGGGGGCCCAGAGAGGTTATGTGGTTCTCCCAAAGTTGTACAGGAAGTAAGAGGCTGAGCCAAGATTTGAACTCGAGTCCTCTGACTTCAAATCCCGTGCTCTTTCCATTGTCATACCATGGTGACCATCAAACTCTTTTCCAGCTGTAATGATCAATGGTCAAGCTTTGTGGCACAGTGGAAATGGCCCTGGATCTGCAGTCTGAGGGCTGAGGCTCAAACCCTATCTCTGCTACTTATTAGCTGTTCAATCTTGGGCAAGTCACATCACTTCTCTTGGCCCTAGTTTCCCCATCTGCAAAATGAGGGGTTGGACTAGATCTTCAAAGTCCCTTCAAATTAGAAATTCTAAATCCATGATCCTATCCATGATGTAGAGTTTCCTATCTATATGTTGATGATCATCTTTTTAGTTATAAATGTAAGTTGAATTGATTTCATTGTTGATGAAATTATTGCAGTGTATAGAATGCAGAACTTGGAGTTGGGAAGACCTGCATTCAAATCTGGCCTCAGTCACTTTCTAGCTGTGTGATTTAGGGCAAGTCACAAACTCTGTTTGCCTCAGTTTCCTCATTTATAAAATGGGAGTAAAAATAGCACCTACCTACCAGGGCTGTGTGCGAATGAAATGGGATGCTATTTATAAAGTGCTTTACAAACTTCAAAGTGCTATATAACTGCTAGCTATCATTATTATTATTATGTAATTATTGTATGTATGAACAGGGTGGGGGGGATTCTGTTTCTGCATCTCCCTTGCCCACCAAATCAGTTGATGTAGCCCACAAAGTAATCGCGTAAGTGGATAAAGTGCTAGGCCTGTGGTCAGGAAGACTCCTCTTCCTAAGATCAAATCTGGCCTCAGACACTTCCTAGCTGTGTGACCCTAAGCAAGTCACTTAACCCTGTTTGCCCCAGTTTCCTTATCTGTAAAATGAGGTGGAGAAGGAAATGGCAAACCACTCAGTACCTCTGCCAGAAAAACCTTAAATAGGGTCATGAAGAGTCAGACATGACTGTAACGACTAAACAACATTCTT